TTTTACGTCCAATGGATGATGATCTGATTAGTCGACTAATCGCAAAAATAATCGGTGACTAGTCGACTATCAAAATAATTGTTTGTGGCAGCCCTACAGTGTAGTGATGGAAGATTTTTTTTTAAAAAAAAGAAAAAAGCACTGTATAAATACCAGGCCATTTGTGTATGTGTGGTGAGAAAAAAACATGCATAATCTGTAGGCCTATTTCATTTTAAAAGCAAGTATTAGTGTTTGTATACTTAAGGCTTTGAGTGGTCAGTAAAACTAGAAAAGCATGATTATAAAGTATCTGTTTAAATCTGGCAACAAAAGAAAAAGTGTATGTAAAGATTTCAGAGCACCGTCATTAAGACACAAAGTATCTGACTAAAATTACAGCTGAGTTAATGAGATGCTCAGTGCATTGTAATGGTGAAATTCAGCCTCATTCTTTCAGCGGGCGCTAAATGGTCTGAGAAATTAAAAAATAAACATCAGAACATGTTTCTAATTGGTAAGTAGGACCTGTGTTGGCATCGGGTCTTTAGACTAAGGCTTTTAGGCTCACTGTACACAGAAGTCTGAGGAGTCTTCCAGGAATGAGGGGACTATTTTCTAGAGGACCGATTAGGGAGTAGATGGTTGTTTTGTACTTGCAGCCCTCTTATCTGGAACATGAAGGTACGGTTGTGATATATCCTGCTAAGAGGTGAATCACCTTCACAGCCTCGCTTTACTATACAGGCCTCTGGCTCCATTATGTTCAAGAGAAGGCAACCATTTCTACAGCAGGCATCTCCAATAACGTTCAGCTCACACCAAAATAATCCTGACATGTAAACAGCACCACAGGAAAACCTGAGCGCTGATTGCACCTTGGTGAAACAAGCCTAGAGACTGGCAACCACCTGTAACTAGGGAAAAGTGCATTCGGTGCACCGGAAACCACACTGTGATTACTTTGGTCGGTAGGAGGTTGCCAGTAGATTTTTAGAACATTTTCTGTTTCCAGTTTGATTTTGTTCAAGTTTCACGTCAGCTCTGAGAGTAAAACATGAGTGTTTGCATACAAGTTGGTGTCTTCCATGCAAACTACAGGTGAATTTGAGGTTTTTGGTGCACCAGCACCTTTGCAACCTCCAGCAACCACTCGTCAATCAGTTGCCAGGGGGTTGCCGACCAGTCTCTAGGCCTGATGATTGAAGCCTTGCGGATCACCTTTAGCTCAGTAGTCTCATTAAATTGACTTTAGTTCCCTTATAAAAAGAACAGCATGTGTGTGGTAGAGTTTTTACTATGCAAATCACAGACACAGTTGCTCCCACACCTGCTGGGACACCAGAGACCGGCTGGCTGTGTGCCGATGTCTTGTACAGTCGTTGCCTGGAGGAAGAGAGTTCAGTGTAATTACAATCGCATCACCAGGAAAGCTACAAGAAACATAATTAGTCACTGATTGGAATTTAAATAACCTGTCTCTTTTTTCTGTTTATTTCAGTGTGGTGTTTTTATATGGACGTGGTTCATTACGCTCTGTTTTTTGTCTCTCAGGTCATAAACACAGGGGTGAAGGTGTGGTCTCGCAATAGTGAAGGAGAGGAGTTTGGCTGTGCCTTTAGACTGGCTCAGGAGGTGACACACACACACACACACACACACACACACAGTTCAGTCCTGTATATAAATCTGTTTCCATTTGTTCTTTGGCTGTCATCTTGACTAAAAGCTGAATGATTTGGAGACTGATCAGTCATTCATCAGTGACGCGATGCACAAAAACTTAATAGTTCTATTATTTTATCAACTTAAATATACTTTGAGGTTATAATACATTTAATTTAATATTCAAACATGCAAGAAATCCTTCCTGCTGTCTTTACTGTGGCCAACGCAGAGCTGTAGCCGAATAACAAGTGAGCCAGACGGCCGATCTCACACTCAAACGAGTTGATAATGAATTCATTTTATATGCTGCGTGTAACTGGAAAGAGTTTCTTTGTGCCGATTGTCAGCCACATGTACTTTGTGTCCTACCAGGGTATTTACACTCTGCAGCCATATATACGCTCCAGGATCATTAGGGTGAGTGTGGAGGACATCAAAGTGCTGCTGACCCAGGAGAACCCCTACCTCAGCAAGCTGGAGGATGAAGCGCATGCACAGGCCCAGAAAATTGGTACAGTCAAACATAGATATGCTCTCCAACTGTGTGTGTTCGGGGAAAATATATGCAGGCTGCACACTGGTCTTTAAATTGCCTTAAATATACATTTATGGCAAATGAAAGTGAAAATGGAATCTGTAATTCTCATCAAAAAATATTTTTACAGATCAACTTTGACCAAATTCCCACTTCCACTCTAATATATCCCACCCACCCACAGTGTTACTCATGTCACCTGTCAGTGGTCATATTTTATGTATGTTTTCCTGCCGTGTAACCTAACGTCACAGTCGGTTGTATCAGTTTCTACTTCCTGTAAAACTTAAGTTTTCTCTCCACAGGAATGGGAAGCATTGTGCTGAAGTACATCCCAAACCCAAAGTAAGCTTGTAACATGTTTTTAGTGTTTCTGATGTTT